CTGCAACACAGATTTATAAAAGATAAATATCAGAGTAAAAATATTTATTGTATAATTTTTATATAGTACTGACATTTATCTTATATGCTACCATATATCTAGCAAATAACTGTAGTATAACAGATTATAAGTAAACATATAAATATAGCTATTAGAATGTTTAAAGTATCTAAAATTTAACCTATATTTAACTTATATTTAACTTATATTTATTTAAATACCAATATTCAAATTTAATGATCTAATAATAACAGCAGAACAGATAATAAATACCTTTATTATATTTAGTTTTTATAAAGTACTAATATTTATCTTATATGCTACTATATATCTGGCAAATAACTATAGTATAATAGAATATAAGTAAATAAATAAATATAGCTATCATTATGTTAAAGTATCTAAAATTTAACTCATATTTAATTTATATTTAACCTATATTTATTTAGGAATACCAATATTAATATTCAATGCTATCAAATAATGATAGCAAAACAGATTTATAATTATAATATAAAAGATAAATAATAGAATATTAAAAAAAGACCTTTATTTAACTTATATTTAACTTTGATATATTACTGATATTTATCTTTTATTCTGTTCTATATCTGCCAAATAACTGTAGTATAATAGATTATATAAATAGATAAATAAAAGATAGCTATTAGGATATAAAAGACAGACTGTTATTTATCTTTTATGTATTTATTCAACTTGTAATTGTTATACCAAATTTTAAGAAGTGTCAATTAATCAATCAAAAAATTATACAATTTAATCTTATGTTTTTGCAAGCAGTCTTATAAGTGATTCGTAAGATAAGCAAATAAAAAAACTAATCAAATTGTTGAATTTGTTTTAATTTCTGTAAATTGCAATATCATATAAATAGTTAAATAAAATTTGATAAAATATTATTTAATAGTCTCTAAGTTAAAAATTAAAATTTTATTTATACAATTAGAAAATTTTTAGTAGTCTTAATAAAATTGATTAATTCTAGCCTACTGATCAGGATTCTAGTACATTTCAGTCTAGGTTCTTGAGATTTTTTTTATTATACATATCAGAAATTCAGTAATGAAATTACAAAGTATATAGTTAATAGATAAATTCCCAAAACTGACATATTTTGCAATAAAAATGAGATATATTGTTAAAAAACTCTTGTTCAACATGCAATTATCTTTTTAGAATGTTGAATTTTTTAAAATTTTAATAAATAAATAATCTTTTCAGAGAAGATTTAAAAATCACATCTTCTATTTAATTATTTTGCATAATTTTAAATTTATTTCGCATTTATTGCATAATTGATCTCAATTGTATTACCTATTGCATCGCATAATTCTAAACTATAGATGTTGATAAAATAGTTTAATATTTAACTACTTTTATTCTTTATACTTATTTATATGATTATCAATATTCTTATTTCCATTCATACATTTATACTTATTCATTTCTACTATTTTGCCAGTACCCTAATTGTATGTATATCTATGTTAACTGCATAGCATTTTCAGATAAAACTAATTTGACTTTGTAAAATAGGGTAAAAACATATATCAAATATGATATTTTTTGTTAAAAACCATATTTTTCAGATTCTTAGTTTGTTTTTAAGTTTTTTATAATTATATTGAGGTAAATCTAATAAGGTTGGTTTTAAAAAACTATGTGATAGTGACTATATCATATTTGTGACTATATTGAGGCTAATCTAGTATAAATTTTAGTTAGTAAAAAAAAAACAATAATTATGTCAAGTTTGTGACTATATTAAAAGTAATTATAATGAGATCTGATTGCATATATTTAACTTATTATAAAAGTTGTATTTTTGATTTTATTTAAAACTTTTCTTTTAAATTTTATTTTTAAAAAAATTTAGATTAAATCTTCAAAGTATTAAATATTTAAATTTTTGTTTTAAGTTTAAAATATATTTAATTAAAAGATAATTAAAGTTAAAAGCTTGCAAATTGTTAATTTTTAAAATTCAGCTTAGTTTATATTTAGGGATAAAATTTTTTTGTCAGTTTAATTCAGTTTGTATATATTAAATTTTTTTTTTAGTCTAGCTTGACCTAACCTAATATACAAAATTTATTATAAAATTTTACAAATTTTTTGATCTAGTTCAGTCTGCAATTATAAAATTTTGCTTCTGATCTGAATTACAGAACCTAATACAAGTCTCTAATTAGAGCTTCTAAATTTTGTTCTGGTTTTTAATTTAAAATAATTAGTTAGTTTTCTTTATTTTAAATTATTACTATTAGTATTAATTTTAAATTTAAATTTATTTTTTTTAAATCATAAAAACATATTTAAAACAACTTTATCTATTTTTTTGTTCAAGAATTATTTATTTTTTCTTCTTTTTTGATATCAAGTTTTTGTATTTTGTAATTTTTTTTTGTTCAATTCTTAAAAAAAGTTTTTTTTTTAATACAAAAACTCTAATTTTTGATGTAATTCTTTTTGTTAAATTTTGTTTTCTGTTTAATAAATTTATATTTGTTGTATTTATTTTTCTTTTTTAATTAGAGGTAAACAACAATTTTTTTTAATTTATACAATTTTTTATATAATAAGTTTAATAAAAAATACTAACAAGACTACCAAAATAAAAAAATAAACTATTTAACTAATTTAAAATTATTAAATAATAATTTAAAATTTATTTGTTTAACTATATTATATATTGTTTGTACATTGCTATATTATATATTTTATTAATAAAAAATTTTTAATAAAATAATACAAATCTTAAAAATGCCTAATTTTAAAAGTTAATTAAATTATTAAAAAATAATCCTAATTTTATATTATATTAATAGTTATTTGAATTAATTTAATGTTACAAAAATGAATAAAAAGATAACTGTTTCTGACAATCCTTCACACCAATTTTTTTCAAAAAGTCTGATCTATGAAAACTATATAGTTATTATATTTAAATGTAACAAAACTCTACTTTGAGGTAATTAAGAAACTATTTACTACATGCTAGTTGTAATTGAAAAGAGCTGAAAAAGATTTTAACTTTTGTAAATGAAGTTCCTGGTATAAAACACAAGTATTACTAAGTAAAGAAGTAATAGATAAGCTCTGAAGCTTTGTCAAATACTATAAAGGCTTAGGCCTAAATAGTTACTTGGTTTAATATAATATTCTATATAGCATAACTCTTACAACTTCTTCTCAAGTTGATTTTTCTTTCCACTCTTATTACTGGATTTTTCTTTTAAAATTTTTACCAAAAAGTGCGAAATATGACATATCTTCTCCAAAGAATCGACACTGTTTATTTTTTCAAATTAGTAATGTTAGTCATGAGAAAATTATGAAATGAATATTGAACCTATGATGGATGACATGTGTCAAATTCAAGAAGAAAATAAAAACTTAGATTATTTTTTTCATATAATAAATAGAATTTATTATAATACAGAGATAAAGCAAATGTAAAATATTCTTTATTTAGTATTATATAGAATTTTTTAAAACCATACATAGGCAAAAATAGTGTCTTCATATTTTTTTGTTCTTTTTCTTTGTCTGTTTTTTTTTTATCTTTTTTTTTTTTTTTGATTTATGTTTAGATTTTGTAGTTAGTTTCCTCTTTTTTTTTACTTCCTTTTTAGTTTTTTTTTTTCTTATATCCTATTGTTCTTTAGGTAAGAATTATAGAATATTCTTGCTTGATAATTAAAAAAAAAGAAAAAACAAATCAAAGATGAAGCTAGGAAGACAATTTTGAAACTTGTCATAAAAGAGAGAAGATCCTTTCATTATGGACTTTAAGTAGTCAGACAAGCTGTTTACTTCTGTTTGAAGTAATGTGGCAGATTGTACTTAGGTGCCATTAGGGTGACCAGATGATGTTAGACTTAGTTGTTAGATACACCTATGTAATTGCAAAAATAATTTCATGAATCTTAATAAAGTACTAGCGTGACTGCCTAAGGGAAAAAAAAAAATGTTACAAAAATTAATTTACTACGTAACAGGTACGTAAATAAAATTTAATTTGGATCAAAATGGTAAATAAATAATTATAAGTAATGTTCGTCATTTATTTACGTATAATAAATATTGTAATAAAATGGAAATTACTGTTTAAAACAAACGATAAATGATATTTGTTCTTTGACTAATTTGATTGGTCAATAGGCATACATAAACTAGCTAATCAAATGAAAGTCTTCTTTTGTGAAACATGGCTTATAACCGTTATATAAATATCGATATGCTTTAAAAATGGTTTAAAAAATGCATATCTGGTATAGATATTCTCAAACCCCTTACTTCTATGGGCAGTCCCAATTCACACTATAACCCTTGTTAGCTACTTTTAATCATATGCCTTCACAATAAAGACCGATTTGGTAATATGCATGAAATAATCAGTTAGGTTACAAATAAAAATTGAAAAACAAAGTCAAGGGTATATCATTAATATCAATAGACGAATGATAAAACTAAAAACTAAATTAAAAATTCGATGAACTTTTGCTAAAACAATGATAGTTCATTGTACTCAAGATATGTTATTTGCGTCCGTATAAACAATTGTAATACATGAAAATTCGGTTTGGAAATTTAATATGCATTCCCCCATAACAAAATTTATTAACCGGGTAATGTTATTAAAAGAAACGAATTAATAGGTACGTATAGACGTTTTGCATTTATTCTTATTATATACTATCATCGTGAAGATTTATGATTGGTAAAATATCTATTATTACGGCATAAAATAGAGACATGTTTAGCCAATTTAATTATACACAATGAAAAAATAGGAATTAATGTAATAATAGATAATCTTTTTCTTTTTGTACGAAACATTTTTTTTTTTTTTAGAAAACAATTGTTTCATTACCGTTGCATACACACGGCATACACGGCATTTTTGTTGAATTCATATGGTTGGAGTATGGATTTCAAAAAGTAATATGTGTAGTATTAATATTTCCATTATAGACTTAGGGGTATTTAGAATTTGGAAACAAGATAGATAGAGTATTTATCGTTTCAGCCAACTGCAATAGGTAACACGATTGAAAAAAACCATCTAAAAATACAATCATGCACTATTAGTATTTATTAGTGGGACAGTCTAAAAAAAAAAGAAAAAAAAAAAAGCCACGCGAACAACACATTTATCCATAACCAGAATCCAACAAAGTCCACGCATGTAAGCAAGAATAACTTGTTTTTCTACACTCTTTGGGTAAGTAAACGTCATTGCACGACGTCGACATGAAACTTTAGGAAAATCATAGGGAACGACCGAATAATTTAACGATTGCGCAGTAAAATTTAAACGAGTTTTTGACGGGTATACAATATTTAGTTAGTAGCTAGTTAGTAACATCTCCGAATCATACCGATGCCGATAGATTTAGGAACAAAGAGAAAAAGGCGCCAATTGTTATTCGGTTAGTAGCCTTAAAGTAAATGATGCTATCATAGGTAAAGGTCAGGTAGGATATACACTTACATACGTAGGCACGTATGTACTTGCGTTCGGATATTATGTTTAAATTTAATGATTATCCCATCTTTATATACCTCCATCTCTTTGTGTCAGAATTTTTTTTTTAACAATGTAAATTGTTCTGTGCTACTTTTTTATGTTTGTGGCGTAGTCTAATAACAATATCTAGATGTTTTTTTGAATATATATAAATGAAAATGTTTAACTTTTAGTTATGCGTTATGGTCAATTATTATTATCGTTATATGCACAGTATTTATTCATATCTTAATCCAGGCTTGAATCGTCAAGCGTGGAAAAAAAGTTTCACACGCAAAAAGTTTAAAACTAGTTTTATGCTATATAGATAATATAGATGACTTATATTATATATATACATATATACATTACATAGAAAATATATTTACCGTAAATATAGGCAAATCCTTTCCATACATATAAAAAAAATAAATTTCCGTTGGTTTTTTATCTACTGATCTTTTTATTTTTGACGGGCTGCAAGTATATTTAATTTTTGAAAGGAACATTTTTTTTATTCAAACATCTCCTAATTCGTTAAAATCTTGTGTACCCCTTAGTATTCGTCTCTTGAAATTTTATAAGTTTTGAAACAAATCCAATTTGGGTTTTTCATTTTCATGCGAATAAAGCTTTTCGTGTGAATATCTTTCTTTTAGTTCCTTGTCTATATTGTTTTTGAATAAACGGATATAAGTATCTTTTGGAACTTTTTACGCCAATTTTTTTTTGTTACCCGTAATCTTTGGTCGAACCCAAAATTCAATATTCGTTGTAAATATGGACGCCCTTCACTTTAAAATTGACCACCTTAAATTATTATGGTCAGAGTATCGTTCTGCAAACGAAGGAGTCGACAGAGATTATAGCGATCAGTCGGAGTGGGCGCGTGGAAAACTGCAGGTACCGTTTTATTTCTTTTTAATCTTTTCATGGTTGCTTGATCTCATGCTTCTTAGTCATGCTATGTATTAAAAAAACTTAGGCAGTATTAACGGAATTTGACAAACTTATTCAAGAACAAATTCTCTGGAAATCGGCTCTTTCGGCTGAAATAGAGGATTTGCTGGTACTTTTAATTTTTACGTATCTATTATGATTTTTTCTTTATTACTAATACAATGACTATCTTTTTTTAGGTGGAGATAGAAGAGTGCTGTCAAATATTTGGTCGGAGGGTCGATACCGTTATACCAAAAGCCGCTGCATTGAACGTTGAATTGAATGATTCAGCACGTGATGAACTAAGGTGCATCCGAGACTCTTTACGAGAGGTATGTAATTTTTAATATTCGGACTTTCCATTTAACCGGAGATTATTGGTTAATCAGATCTTTACCTTTTTAGGAAATGGCCCTTACCAAAACAAACATTAAAAAATGGTTGGACAACCTTTCAACTTTCGTCATAGAATTAGAGAATGATTATAAAGTTCCACCAGAAGAAGTAATTAAAGAATCATTGTTTATGTTCAAAATAAGACATGTTATATCTACGTATTGATCAATTAAAATAAATTAAAATAAATTATATAGATTTTTGAAAACGATCTTGGTACTTCGGTAGTTGAACCGGTTTGTATATATATTATATATTGTAGATTATTACAGTATATTTCAAATTTGCATAGAATTGTTCTCATAATGATGCATAACTAATTATATCTATATTCATGTATATAGGTGAGATGTAAATATAATGAAATGGCTCGTGCAGTGGTATGTTTCATCTTAAATTCAGATTTCGTCAAAGTTTTCATGGCTAATCACATTCGTTTATATAGACCAGTCGACGTGAAGCATTTGAAGAGTCTGCGATCAAACTGCATTATTATTGGGATGCGCTTCATCATATTCCCCAAGATGAAGTTGATGAAGGATTGTTCGAATTATTTAGTGATAAACAGAACCCAAAAGATATTTATGAAGCATTACAGGCTTCACTTGAAAATAAGAGTATAAATAATGATGATGATGATGATCAAGCTCAACAAGAAATCATTGATGTACAACGTGAATATGCATATTATACCCCTAAACTTCCAACTGGATTGAAATTGTCACCGGAATGTTTAGCAACTCTCAAAGAAAAATTAGTCATCCTTGAAAAAGATTATGTAACTCGTAAGAATAAGCTGAATGCTATGCAAAAAGATGTAAAGAGCCTATATAAGGAATTGAATGTTCCTTTAGAGGAAAGAATCGAGTTGATCGATTCCCTTGATGAAGAATACATAGAGCGGGTTAGCTTTTATCTTATAATGTTAATTATTTGTATTTATTAACTATTTTAAATTTACTTATGAGTTATTAATGTTTATTCCTTTAGTTATCTTTGGAACATGAACGCTTAAAAGAAATCATGCGTGTAATCATTCAGAAAGCTATCGAAGAGGTATAGAAAGTTTAAATATTTGTTTAAAATATTGTTGTCACTTTTATTTATTTATTTTAAAACCTAATTACATATCTTTTTCAGTATACTTCGCAATTGGTTGAACTATGGAATAAATGTCTTGTTCCACAATTTGAACGTGATGAATTCTTTGCCAACGTACACAAACGTGAGTTCGCTTTTGAATATATTATGCCTATTCATTCTAATTATCGATTTAATCTTTGTTAATAATATTCATTTACAGTCAATTCTGCAGAAGATGTTTATGAACTTCTCGCTAATGAAGTTGCGCGCTTGCAAGAACTTTACGCAAAATGTGCAAAGATTTACAAGCTGATGTTAGAAAGACGCGCATTGATCGAGGTAGATAGTGATATTGTATTTTAAAATTAATGACTTTAATTTCATTTATTTTTTTTTAACCGACTAATATTTCATTAGAAAATGACAGAGTTTGAAAAAAAGGCATCAGACCCACGTCGTCTCTTCCAAAGCTCTTTCCGTTTATTGGAAGAAGAGAAATGGCGAAAATCGTGTTGGCCCAATTTGGTCAAAATTGAAGATCAATTAATCAATGCGTGTGTTAATTATGAAGAGAGTAAGTTTCAATGCATCAAATTCAAAAAAAAAAAAAAAAAAAAAATCTCTTATAATTTCATTATTTTAATATAATATATATATTTTTTATTTTAGCTGAAAGAAAACCATTTATGCACGAAAGTATGCGATACTTAACCACTCTGGTATGTTAAATATTGATAACGTCTAATACTAATTAATATTCATATTGATTTTACTAAAAATATACATTTATTTTGTAAATTACAACAGCAAACTGAAATATCCGAACGTATTGTCAATCAAATGTTCTTCGGTTTTGAAAAGGATGCCGCTAAAGGTCAAAATACCGATCAAAATCGGGCAACTATTAAACGCAAGGATAGTCAACTTTCACTTAAAACTTCAGCCAGCAGACCGGTGTCACCAACTGCTATAAATGATAATTATACGTCACGTAGAAATAGTCAATTGATGCCATCACGACCTCAGAGCAGGGCAGTATCACCGGCTTCTGGCAACTCTCGAAGAAATAGTCAATATATACCATCACGGCCTCAGAGTAGGGCAGTATCTCCGGTGTCTGGTAACTCACGAAGAAATAGTCAATATATACCATCACGACCTCAGAGTAGGGCAGTATCACCGGTTTCTGGCAACTCTCGAAGAAATAGTCAATATATACCATCACGACCTCAGAGTAGGGCAGTATCTCCGGTTTCTGGCGACTCTCGAAGAAATTCCCGGGCAATAAGTCGGCCGGTTTCACCTTCGAGGTCTAGAGCTCAATCACGTGCTGGATCACCCGTGAGATCAAATCGCAATAGTTTATATTCTGCAAATTCAAGTGACTCAACAACATCAAAACGTAATAGTGTATACTCTGCAAAGTCAAATGACTCAATAGCATCAAAACGCAATAGTTTATACTCGGCAAATTCAAATGACTCAGCATCTTCAAAACGTAATAGTTTATACTTGGCAAAAAATGACTCAGTATCATCATTATCATCAAATCCAGCACAAAGAACACTGAAATCAAATGGACTATCCTCAAGTTCTCGTAGATCATCATTATATGCGTCTAATTTAGATTCTTCTATTACTCAAACTGGAATAAATTCCCACAAAACAAGCAAACCTATTGATAATAAAAGGCTTGCATCACATCGATCATCACTCATTGTAGAAAAGGGTAACACCACTGCACAACGTAGCAACAGTGTATCTAGCACGTCAAGTGAATCTTCGTCTACTTCATCTGTTGCTGCACCAACTACTCCTGAACCATCTTTGACTTCTTCATATGTTGATAGTGATAGTAGCCGATTAAAACCTAATAAGCTTAAGCCGGCTAAGCCATCTATTATCTCAAAAATTAAATCTGCCACTAATATTTCAAAATCTTGAACTATGGACTATAGAATCTAATCTTATTTTATTTTTTATTTTACATTTAATAAAAAAAAAAAAACAAAATCTTGTACGTATAATGTTTTCTGAGTAAAAAAAATTTCCAAAAATAAAAGACATTTCCAAAGTGAAAATGATCTAGAATGTGATGGTACGACGCCTGATAGGCGTGGCCATTGATGACAAGTAAATAAAAAAAAATCTTATCTGAAACATGGACGTTAATAAAAGGGTTCTCCTTTTCAGCTTAATAAAAGTTATAATTAATCTAATAATTTTCAAGCTGATCCTTGGTTACAAATTTTTAACGAACCTAAAGCACTCGACAACACAAACGACGACTTCATATGGAATTAAAAAACTCAACGAATGATACTAAAGCTTGTCTTATTATCCCTGATTCTTGCCTGCACCAGAGAAACGACAAAAAAAAAGTGACATGATTGATCGACAATACATAAATAAAGCATATTGCGGATGCAATCTAATCTTATTTTATATTACGTTAGAAACGTACATATAGACATGCACATAATCGATTAAGAAAAATCCTTAGAGAATTGGCTAATATAGCTGGCTAAGCCGCCTATGTCAATTGATGCGAATATCGACCTGAAACACTTATGCTGACAATGGTAAATCACAATACAAAAATGACAAATCAAAATGGACAATGATATTCAAGATAAAAAATTTCACAATCAAAATCAAAGTCATTTATTCTTATATCATCTACAATTAGAAAAGCAAATTACAAGAACGGTTAAGACAAGGCTAATAAATGTATTTCTTCAAAACTTATTGCAGTGATGGAAGAACGGACAATTTAAAAGATGCCAATGGTTATGTACAGTAAACAATGAAAGATATACACTTGCTTTTTTTCATATTGCCCCAAATTCTGGATATATAGAAAGAGCATAAAAATTTTGTATTTACAATGGGAAGTTAGCGTTAGAATTTTGCATTTGATTAAATGAGACCCCATGGTTCGTGCCCAAGCATTATTTTACTGGGGTATTCTGCAGTAAACTGCAGTACGTAGTATGCCTGTTAGAAAACATTCTAAGAACATATGCAATTTAAATTATAAATATTTGCAAATCTTGGATTATTTTTTTTTATACGTATAAAAATTACACTACACATATCTGTTATATATATGTTGTAAAGTGGAAACGGAATCTAAGTGGATTCGATCTATCATATATACATCCTAACCCTAACCCTAACAAACCCACTCCACTTACGACATATATATATATCGCAATTTTTTATCTAGTTTTTTTTGAAATATTTGTTTATATAGTATACTGTAAATATATCTTTGTGTTAAACGGAAATTACATATAACTAAACATAATAATAACAACCCATTCACTCATGATAATGCACATGAATTTTAATAAAGTTAGCCACAAATACAATGACTATAATATTACATAATAAGACTATTTCAAGAATAGTTTATCAATGTGAATATTGCTTTTGAACAATGAATCAAATCATAATTTCCAAATAAATCTGTTGATTAAAGTAGTTATAAATTATGTTAATTAATCCGAATAAAGAAGTTCTTTTTCGTTCATTACGTTATTTCAGATCTAGCCGATTTTATTATCACGTGAAAATCTTGGTTAAACTTGATGATTATCAACAACACCTTTGAGCTTCATTGACGCAGCCAGAGATCCTATATTTCGTTAGACTTATTAAACTACTATCATATCTCACTCCCTTCTTGCTTAATCTTGTAAATATTTTGTATTTTACATTATATATATCAACATATATTTTCATTCAAAAGATATTATAAAAACAAGCCTGCATTAGAGACCCCAACATTCGTCATTCGAACCAAAGATGCCGATTATACATATTACGTGATTAACTTTAATTATCTAAAAATAACCCGATTTTTCTTGTTCCATTAAAAATAAAATACTTCGTGTAATCCTGTTTGGCTTACATACATTATTAAAAATTTAATGAATGTCCTACGTACTGATTTTAATTTGTATGTAATCAGGTGAAAATTTTTGAAATTGTTCTACGTAGGCAATAGTTTTTACGATTCTTAAGTTATCTGGCAAAATTAAAAATTTTTTTTTTGTTACTGATAAAAAGAAAAAATCACATTATATAGTAATAGTAAAACTACGGTGTAAAATTTGGAAGCCCCATTATTACTACCTAATTCGATTATAAGATCAACATATAACATATAAAATTCAAAAAAAGAGAAATCTGAAATAACTCGCATTGCAGCTAGCCTTCAGCCATGAAATAAAAGTTTTTAGCATAAATGTTTTTATTGTAAAGATTGTAAAGATCAACACGACCTGGACTAGGTGCTGCACAAAAATGCGCAGCTGATCCTCGATTTTGATTGGCCAATGTCGGTGATCAAAACTTAGGCCAAAATTACTAGAAATTTTACTAATGAAATCGTGACCACCCATTAAGTAAAAAATGGTTAGCATAATAGAGTTGGTTGTAGCTTTAGTCTTTAGGTCTATTTCTATTAATTTGTAAAATAAAAAACTAAATAACTAATGATCTTTGCAAATAACATTAATGATATTCAAACAGTTTACTAAACAAATTGCTAATCAAACTGATCTACTATACAGATAATAATCAGAAATTACCTTACTTAAAAAATAATATATAATTTTTAAGATGCTATTTGTTACTATTGTAAAAACAAAAAATGTTTTATTTAAAATTGTAAAACCAGAAAAAAAAACAAAAAAAACTTATATAACTAGTAATTTTCTTATTTTGATAATAAATACTTATCATGTTATACTTTAAGCAATTGGAGTTAGTGGTAATAAAAGTCTATATACTACTAAGTAACAAGACAATAGAAAAAAACATTTAGCAAAAGATTATAGAAATAGTTACTAAACAGAAAAGATGAATATAATTTGTGATTATAAATAATTTTAATTATACAGTAAATAATATATTAGATAAACAACATTTATAATTAGCAAAATTTAAAAGACTACTAATCTTTAATTGGATGAAAAAATAAAACTTCATAGACACATATAGAGATATGCATCCAACAAGTCAAAATTATACATAGTCAAACAAGGAAACTGTAACAAGAATTAACTATATTTGAATATTAAAAAAATTAACCTTGAGTTTGTAAAGAATAAATATTAAGAAAACAGAAGAAATTATAGAAAATGATCATAAAATAATAAGTTCAGAAATATGAATTAAATATATAATAAAAGAAAACAATAAAGCAGAGATTAAAAAAAAAGAATAATCAAAAACATTATACTTATATAATTGGACAAAACTAGAGAATTAAAAAAATTATACATAAGAACTGTAAAAGCAATTAGAAGTAAAAAAAAATTTAAATAACATTCAAACAGAAATGCAAGGTAAAAAGAAACATATAAACAAAATAAATAATATATAGGATACAATAAAATAAGTAATTATCACTGTACCAAATAAATACATATTTAAAAAAAATATATATAATATAACAGCAAATAGAAGAACTAGTTAAAAAGTATAACAATAAGAAAAAGATATTATAAAGTTTCAAAAATTAATTAAATATGCAAAGATAAAAAGAGACTAAGAAGTAACAAAAAAAGAAAAAAATAAAACAAATAAACAATTAAAAACACTAAGTAACAAAATAGATGCAAAACTACCAAAACTACAAAGGTATTAGTCATATGTTTGGATAGAAAACATGAAAGGATAGTAGAAGTTCTTATAAGAAAGAAAGAAAAAAGACTAATAACAAATACAAAGAAGCCAAATAGAAGAAAATATAAACAAGAATATGAAATAATCAAAACAGACCAAGGAAAAATATTCGTTAGTCTTCTAAATAAGCTATATAAAAAAATAATGCTTTATAGGCTTATCAAGCAAATAGAAAAGAAAACATATTTAATAACAAAGTCAAAAGAGGTTAAGACAAATATAGTAAAACATTATAAGATACAGTTTAGAAAAAAAAATACCAAATTAGAAACAATGACAGAAAAAGAAAAGAGATATACAAACTAAGAGAAAGCATTAGAGAGAAATAGTATACAGAAATTGAAAAAAAAATTAAGAAAAAAGAATGAAACGAGACATTAAGAGAATTAAAAACAAGAACAGCTCTAGGTATTTTAGGCATAAGTTATATACTAATCAAAAAAGCAAGAACAAAAATACAAGAAGTCTTTAGAAGCTTTGCAGATTTATACTTAGAAACAGAAGAAATTTTAATAAAATAGAAGATAATACAAGTTTACTCTATACCAAAAGATATAAAATAGTGATATAGTTTAAACAATATCTGCTTAATAGCACTAATTAAAATATTTAGAAAAGTTGTAACAAAGGTGATAATAAAAAGGCTTACTAAAATATTTATAAAAAGAGAAATACTGAAAAAACCAAATTTCACAAGCCTTTCAGGAAACTCAACAAAGCACTTAGTACAGATTTTAAATATAATAATAGAAGAAATAAAAGAAAAAGATAAAGAAATATAGATACTTTGTCTTCTAGAAACCTAATTGCACAATACTTCATATAACTAAACCTTTTGTAATATTACTATCATATATTGTAATTTTTTTTACAAAGTCAAATTTTTTATAAAAATTCTTAATTCATGTTTGTACTTTATTTTAAAACTTTACACAGAGCTTTATATAAAATATAGCTTTTATTTTAAGTTACAAAGTTTTAAAATTCTTAGATTTTGTCTCTAGCCTAATTCAAACTATTAATTTTAGCTATAAAAAGTTGGTAGTTTAACTATTAAGTTATAGAATTTAATTCTGCTAAATTAATTTTTAATAAATATAATAAACTAATAGAGTTTATTCATTATTATATTTTTATAATAACTATTATGCAAGATTATAAGCTTTACAAATATTTTTGACAAAATATTTAATAAAAAGTTTAACAGAGAACTTTTATGTTTTAAAAAATAATATATAATATAAGTTGTAAATATTTATGTAGTTGAAATATAATAAAGGCTTATTTATATATTGTTTGTAAATTGTTAAGAGCATTATTTAAATAGATTTAAACTTTATAAAAGTTTATATAATTTAATAATATTTAACAGAATATGTTATAATAGTCAGAAATTAAATTTAAAAGATTTGTTATAATTGAAAAATATCTAGTTAAACATATTTGAATATTATAAATTAAAATTTAGTATAGATATTAATTATAAAGTTTTAAAAAGTAATTAAAATTTTAGCCAAAATAGAAAAGAGTTTTGTTTTATAAAAAATGTTTAAATTTGAACTTTGGTAGCAAATTTGTAAATAATTTGATTATTATAATCTACTTATACTTAGCTAATACCTATAGTACAATTATTAGTATTTATACTAATTAGTAAATTATTAGTATAAAAATTAAATAAGTTATATAATAAGTTATTAAAAAATATTTATTAAGTTTGTTAATTGTTTTACTTGCTTTAAAAATTGCAATTAAAGTAAAGTTAAAATAGAAATAATAAATATTAATAATATTATAAAATTTAGTAAAGATTATTTAATTGTAATAAAAATAATAAGGTTTAGATAAAGAGAATAGTGATTATAGTATAGTGATTAGGTTGTTATTCTTCAAGTAACAAATTTAATATTCAAATTTTACTTATAACAAAATTTGAAAATTATATTTGTACTATATTAACTGTTTTCTGTTAATTAGTTGGCTTTATATAATTGTAATCCAGTATATTAAATTTAGCAACTTGAAAGTTTAGATTATCTATATAAAATATAATATTATATATATATAAAAAAATGCTTACTAGTATTGCATAAAACTTTAGTATAAACTTATAATAAAACTACCAAGTACAAAAAACTAAAAAACTGAAATAACAAAAACCTATTTAGAAAATTTTAAATAAAAAGATAATATAAACTTTTAACAATATTATCAAAATAATTAAAACCCACAAACTATCTTTAATAAAACAGATTTGATAAACTAAATATTAAATATATATAGAGAATTATACAGTGTGGGACAGCATAAGATATCAACTATTTTTAAAAGCACTAAATTAAGACAAAAACATTATAAAACATCTACTTTTTATATATAGATGCCAAATTTGAATGAAGACAGCTTAATACATCCAATACATCCAATAAATACACCAAATTTAGGATTATCTACTAAATAAACTTTTGTGTAGCAATCACAACTAGATAATGAAAAAAAATAAAGTGCATTCTGATACCTTGAATTACCGATAATACTTCTTAAACCTTTTAATTAATTTCCATGTTACAACTAATCTTGCAAATTTAATTTAATTAATTGCATGCAGAATTTTTAAAAACATTAGTTTTATCAGATTTAAGAAGATTATTAGAAATTAATCCGAATGATGCAATAGCCTTAAGCAATCGTGAAATAACTTATCAAAATATGCACAGATGTGAAGAACCACCTGCAGATTTAAATAAATTATTAGGAATTGATCCAAATAAAGCAACAGCTTTAATTAATTGTCATCTTAATTTTTTTTTTTTTTGATTATTTTTTTGGATGTGTTCTTGAATAGCTAGCCTTTGCAAGTAAAAAATAAAAAAAAAATTAATGCAAATACTCAGCCTTATTCTTAACTACTCTAACATATTAAAAGAAAGTGACATAATATTGATTGATTAGAATTTATATGATTTATTAATTATTAAAAGCGAAAAAAAATACATTGCTCTAATTTAAATCGCATTGATTCGATTCATAATTTCTTCATTAATTAAACAATGTCTCTTATGCTGTCTGATAGCATACTCAGCAGCTTTTCCTGTCAAACCATGCTAATAAGCATCCATTCATCTAAACGACAACCTAGTGAAAGACTGAATTTTCTCTATTGAAATAGAGTTAAAAGTCTCACAAATCATTTGGCTAAGCTTCAGAGAAGAATATTCACAATTATTTTGGGTATACTTCTTTGCCACTTCCCAGTACATTTCAATATGATTAAACTTGGGGTGAAACTTTGGATAAAAAATAACCTAAAAAAAAAAAAAAAAGGATAAAAAAAAAAAAAAAAAGCCAATAGCAAAAAATAGATAACTATCTTATGTCCACAAGATTCAATTTCTTCTTGGATTTGAACACATTGCGCAAGAAAATTAGGCTAATTGGTCATCAAACAGTGTGTACAACAATCAACAATATTGGAACTTAACTTATGCTTGCACGAAGTGGCATCCTTTCTCATCACAGTTCTCAGTTACTAAAAACCCATTTTATCTCTTTTGGTTCACCACGCAGATTAATAAATGTCTTTGTTTTTTATCATAAACAAAATAATCTTCTTCAATGATTATTGATTGACGACACCTGTTCCACACAGTATCTCTCATTTTTGGAACTGCTCCACCAGGGCCAAGATTCATTCTTGAAGCCAGAAGTGCATCCTCTGCAAAAGATGTATGGGACATAGCATTATCGAAGGCAAATATGTCTATAGAACATAAGTTTTAAAAAAGTTAATAAAAAAAAACAAATTATGGTGACTAACATAAGGTGGTTGGTCCACACCTCATACTGGTCTCTCAAAAAATTTATTTTGCAACCTTACCAACACATTCAGAATGTGTTCGTTCAAAAATTTTTATTAGCCGTTTGACTTGCTAGTGAAGTTTTTCCGTATCCCAAAAACCGTCATAATGTGCACTCAGTACTATTGTTACATGTGCCTCCTCCTCTTCATCTTTGAGCAGTCCAATCGTTTCCATCATAAAGTCACTAACATGTATACCAAGACCCAACCCCTTTTTTTTTAAAGGTTGTTCTTTCTCTGAACACCACACTGCATGGGGCCTATCATAAGCATGAAAAGTTGTCTCATCATGGGTTACCCAAACATGTTCCTTTTCACCATTACTTAACCGCAGGAAGGTTCTAAATTCACAACCTTCATCATGCCACTTGAACATGAATCGATCAAACTCAGTGACTTTCTGGAGAAGATATGACAATAGGCAACTACATTAGGCCTTTCGTGCCCATCGATATACACATCTTGCTGATGGCGTTTGTAATAAAAGCCGAGTTTTTGCATCCATCAATGAGCAGTTCGAATAGAAATGCTTGAGGATTCTACATTTAATTGGGGAAGAATTTTTTGTTCAACATAACTTTTAACCATTTCTGGATTCACTTTGAATTTTACAGAATGCAGGTAAGCTGCTAATTGGAGTGAAACCAATTCATCATTAAGGAGGCTTTTGGAAGAAAACTTTCTATGGAAATTCTAGATTAATTCTTCTTCAATACAAAAATAATTCAGTTTATTTATTAAGATAAAAAATAAAAATAAAAAATAAAAAAAATAAAAAAATAAAATAAAATAAAATAAAAATCAAGAAAAAAACATACCTTTCATACAGATACTAGCCCACTTTCTCACACATTTTACAAGCTATAGCCCACCATTAACAACTTCCGTGACTGCTTCTGATGCTTATATTTTTTTTTTGCCATTGAATAACAACCAAAAATAATACATAACTGCTATGTAATGAGCTTTCTCAGTATCTAAGAGTTGCTCGTTACAGATTACATTATTCACAAACTCGAATGTCTTTTGAATTTCTTTTTCGATTCTGTTATACCCTCATTATTTTCGCTTTCACTTTCATTCTCACTTGGAGATTCATTAACGGCTGTCATTGAATTGGTAAAAGGAAAAAATTGCAAAATTTTTGATGTTCCTACTGCTGCTTTTCTTAACATTTTATTTTTCTTTGTTTCATTCATTTTGAGTTCCCAAGATAAATAGCGGGATGCTTTTTTTTTTCGATGCTTGCTGCTGACACAGCAAGGAGACGATTAATGATTAAATTCGCCCTTTCACTATCAAGTTCATTATCGTCCTCCTCAAAATTATAAATGTCCTCTTGAAAGTTATAAGCAATATCCACATTTGAAATGTCACTTTCATACTCTTTGCTTGACCAAAGATCAATATTTTTTTTGCTTTGGTGGCATTTGCAGCAGTACTGCTGGTGCTGATTCTGGTGGCATTGGCAGCAGTACTGCTGGTGCTGATTCTGGTGGTGGTGCTGGTTCTGTTGGTGGTGTCAGTATTTTCATCTGCTAACTATGCGAAATGGGCTAAATTTGCTTTTACTTGCCATAACTGTCTTGATTTTGAAGTCTTTGCCATTATTAAGATCGATAACGATTAAATCAAGATCATTTTAAATCTTTTAATGTAGAGAATTTTGATTGGTTGGCTTCACGTGATCGAATATTGTTGATTTTTATTGGTTTATATGGTATAATCATATGAATTTCTTTGCGCCAAATTCACCATCTACATATAAAGTAGACAATATTTAAAGCATTATAACATAATCAAAAATAAAAATAAAAGAAAATTCTCTTCCAGAAATGTAGTTTTACTTAAAAATTATCAATCTAAAAGAAGATTTTTTTATTTAATAATTTTTTATCAAGTTATACCATTTTTTATAAAGCAATTTTTATTGGATATCTTATGCTGTTCCGCACTATATATAAAATAACTAATTTATTTATATAAATTTGATTGGCTCTTGTATTATGATTATTACATGTTATGTATTTACAGAAGAATTAATAAATATATAGGCCAAAAAAATTGTATGCATTTGTAGAATAAAGAATATGCATTTATTTATTAGTCCTATTAATAGATCAGATAATTATTATGCATTTAAAGAGGTTATATATTTAAAAAGATTGTATTTAAAAAGGTCTGACTGTATATATATATTTTTGCTTATATTTTAAAATATAAATTAATAGTTTTAAAATTACAAAAAGCTTTTTAATTATATTATTAAGTATATAAATTAGTATTACTATATTGTTTCAGAAAATGCAATTGTAAGAAAATAGAATTAGGTATAATATATAATAATATTTAAATAATTAGTATAAAGTTTAATATAAGTTTTTTAATAAGTTTTAAGAAGTAAATATGTTTAATATTAGTTAAGCTTTTATTTTTTTATTTATTTTTTCACTAAGATATTAGTTTTTGATTCAGTATTAAGATAAGCTTTTTGGTTTTTTGACTTTGTTAATACTTTTGTCAGGTATTATAACAAGTATACAACTGACTATACATGTAACTTTTCTATATTACTTATTTAAGAAGTCTGTCTAAGGGTTCTCTATTAGTTGCTATATCTAATATTTCTGCTTAGATGTTCTATTTAAACTCTTTAATCTAAAACCCTTATACTAACTTTACTAAATAACTTGTATTTAAATCCTTATTTCAATTTTAGAACAATTTTATTCTTAAGAGTAAACCTACCAGAATAAGCTATATATTTTCTATTTACTGCTAACTTAAATTTTCTGTTATGGCCAAAACTAACACTTGTAGTTAGAATTATTTATTAAATCACTATTACTATTATAAAGTCCATCCAAATCTGATATTCATCTTTTTAATGTTTTCTTTATTATTCTCTACTAGTCACAACTTAGAACTGACAGACTCCTTAGACTTTTAATCTAGATGACCTAATATAGTATACTTATATATCTTTTTTCTCTAGTAATTCTGGTGGCCTAGTTGGTTATATACTCCTCTACACATCTTGTTATTTGGTTTATCTAACAATTTTTATAAAGGTATTTTATAAATATTCATTAATTTAATAGCATTATCAAAAGTTTGTGCTACTTTTTTATTCAGAATTTTCAAATGAGCTTCTATCTTCTTAGTTTCTTAGTCTTTTACATTCAATGGTCTTATTACAGATTTGCACTAAAGTATTATATAACATCATTTTTCATATTTCTCTATGTATATATAATGTTATACTTTACATAGACACTAAGATTATTAGTTATTAGTAGTTACTGTCTTTATTATATTTAATTATGATCTAAACTCAAAATACTGTTATTAACTGGATCTAACAAGCCTCTCAACTTCACATTCATTTTATTATTCTTGGTAATTTTAACACACAAGACAATACACATAGCGCTTTATTTAAATATAAACTTATTAATTTTCTTAATAACACCAATATGTATAATATTAAAGTCCATCTTAACAACAAATATTCTACCTGGTCTAACAATACTAGCAGTAGTTATATTGACTATATTTGAACTGACCAATTCAATATACAATTTTTACTTTCTTACAATCTTGATAACAGCCAAACCTCAACCTCTAGTGACTATTTAATTCTTATCTCCATATGGACATTCTCACATGCCTACAGCAAATCTTTACGTAAACATACTGGTATCAGTCACCACTTCTTTAACTATAAAGTAATGTTTGTAGAAGACTGAGAATCTTTTGCAGACACCCTATTCCAACAACTTCTACTGCACAAAACTCCTATTAACAATGAAACTGATAAAAGCATTGAAACAATTTGGCACAAAATTCAATGCTCTATTATCTACTTTGCTACTTATACCATCTCTAGTAAAGTTTCTTGCAAACATAGCTACAATCATTAATACTCATCTCACAATACTTTATTACATTTATCTCTTAAAAAACTTGGTCACATTATTAAACTTGTTAAAAAACTCATCCAAAATTCTGACATCTCCAACATTAATCAAAATATTTCGCAAATTAACAAACAGTCATAATGTGACCTTTAACTACTTAACTCCACCAATCCATCTTGTATCCAACTATGGCTCCAACATGCTTACTCTATCTGAAAACAACTTTTTTATGCTTGTTATCTTGAAAACTCTCTCTTACTTTGACAACAAATCAACAAAGCTACTGACAAAAGATGTACTACTCTTACATCACATCCTACATAAGCTATTAATAGCATCCTTAATTACTATTATTAATCTGTTCATTTTTCTAACATAAAATTTTTTAATGAGCTTATAATTGATTTATTACTTATTAAACAGCATGTTCAATTACATTTTCATAACTGAACTACACTCAAACCCATTAATAAAACTCTTTTTGATAATTTTTGGCAACAATACTATCTTCTACTACCTCATATCAATCCAATCTGATACTAATCTCTTAATTCTCCAATTACTAATGAAGAACTTTCTCAAACTCTCTCTCAGCTTTCTAACAACAAAGCCTGTAGTTTTACAGACATTAGTTATGAAATGCTTAAACATATCAGCTCTAAATACACTTCTGCCATTACTAGTCTTTTTAACTATTGTTTTCTTGAAAATAAAATTTCTAAGCAATAGAAATATAACAGAATTTACCCTATTCCTAAATGTAACTTTTTTGATGATGATCTCAATCTTACTTAACCTATTAGTCTTATTGAACATATTCACAAACTATATACCAAAATTCTAACAAATAGACTAAGCATTATATTCTCTTTTAATCCTATTCTCTTACCTTTTAATTATGTTGCATTTTCTAATAATAGCACTTCAATCTCTATTCACATTCTCAATAACCTTATTGAAGATGCTACTTGTAACTACAAGAACATTTGACTACTTTTACAGAATATAAGTAAAGCATATGACTCTGTTAACTTTACTCTTTTTAAACATTTACTTTCTCATCTGGCACTTCATTTTTTCATTATTAATATCCTCTCTGATCTTTTAACTAACCATCACAATTAAGTTATTACTAATCTTGGCCTTACTCCCTCTTACCCTGTTTACAATAGTATTGACCAAGGTAAAACTATTATTCCTCTATTATAATGCATACTACGATCCACTTATCTCATATATATATACACAAATACCTGGTTATACTTTACAATTCTCTTGGGCTACCAATCTTAAACTCCAAACATTTAACTCATTACAACAACAATGCTTTGTTTTGGCATAGATGGATGATACTCTTTGGGTTGCTTTATCACAAACTGAGCTTTCTAATATATTATCTATAGCTAAATCATTTTATACTATGGCTAACATTCAAGTTAACCCTACAAAATCCATTCTGGTTACTAATAACCCTCTATCTCATTACACCTTTATCTTCTATAATAATTATCTTCTTTCACTAGATTCTTCTAAATAACCTTTTAAATTTTTAGGTTGCTAGTTCATCTTGAACAATAGGCAATCTAAACAAACAAAACTGCTCATTGCTAAATCTTCTTAACTTATCCAAATTGCTAAAACTAAACATATTACTGATTCACATGCCTGCTATATTATTAACACAGTTATCATTCCTACTCTTAAATATTATCTTCAAAACATTGTAGTTAGTCAATCTACTTGCAATAAAATTCTTACTTAGCATATTGGCTTTGTTAAACTCAAGGCCAAACTCTGCAGTACAATACCTTTTAGTACTCTCTTACATCCTCAAATTTATAACATTAAACATATCTAGGACATTCAACTACAATACTATATTTCTAATCTTCTTAAATGACTTAATAACCTTGACCTGTTAGGCACATCAACTCACATCTGAATTTAATAGTTACAAAACAACCTCTGATCTCCTACTAATATTTTCTTACATTCTAAACCTATTATTGATGGTCCTAACCATCTAACTACAAACTTTAAAATTATTCAGCTTATCAAGCATATTGGCT